CACTAGAGATCCCACCTCTTTTTGCCCTTTCAAAGAACAAGTGCCTATCAATGTCTGTCAGTAGTTCCAATTGTATACCCGAATGCTTTAACAATGCATCCCACGACAGGCCCGGTGATGTGTAATAGTTGGCTGGGTCAAGGTCATAGTGTTGTTTACAGACTTTACGGAAGTTCTCAAAACAGTCGCTAACAATAACACGTCCGTTTCCACGTATTGGTCATGGTAGTTACCTAGGTTTTTACAACCAAAGGCTTGCCATACTTTTTGTGCTCTTAAATGTTCTTGCTCGGTCACTGTGGACTGCTTCAGAGAGCTATAAAAAGCGCCTACTGGTGGGAGTTTTCTCTCTTGGAACCGATCAAAGGAATCAATGTATTCGTAAGGGTAAATTCCCTTTTCCAACAATAAATTTGTGTAATTTGGAAACCTTTCGCGAAGTAAGTTAAAATCATCGGGTGAACAATTTTTAACCAACCGATCTAGCGAAGCCGCCATAAAATGAAATGAGTCTAAAAACCTGAGTTGGCCAAAGGAGAACGAAATGTAATTTTCAGTATTCTTATATGATTGATTTTCCGTAAAATTCGTGAGCGCCCTGCATGATTAAATGTGCGTCGTATTTCTCGAGATTGTGTGAAATAACCGGAATGGGTGTTTCATTGGCCACGATTCTTAACTTGAGATTACAACTGGCGTGCGCGGGACCTCGGTACTTCCCCGTCACGTGACAATGATCCCTAACCTTTCTAAAATTGTTGATGGGCTTTTTGCAATCTAAACATACCCATTCTCTGAACCCAGCTTCATTTTTACAAGCAATTTTGTCAGCTTTTGGAATATCACACTGACATTGAGATTCCGCGGTTCTCTTGTCTATCAACTTTTCGCAGATCCAACAGCGATTACAATTTTCGTAAATTTTTTGTGACTCGGGCGACCAGATCAACTCCGCTTTGTTTTTAAACATTTCGTTGATCTTGGATGCTTCCTTAGAAAGTGACCGTACAAAATTAATAGCCGCGTCTTGACCTCTGTATGTCTTTTGCCTAGTGCAAAATCCATCGCATCTGACGACCACGTATGAGTAGCCGCAAGGCTTGTGAATCTGTGTTTTGAGAGTGTTTGGGAGTTATTGGCTGATTTAACTGCTTGTTTCTGTTTGTATCGCTCGCTGTCGGCGGCAATTTTTCTATAACAGACTCAAAATCGGCATAAATGACAAAAGGCGCGTTTTGTTTATTTTTGTAATTTTTAAACTTGAGTATATTTTCGCCTTTGACCGGCAACTCGACCGTACATGTGGGAACGTTTAATCCTTGACAATCTTCTTTGTGTCTGGTTAACTTTTCTTCCGTTTGGAAATGCGACATGCTATTGAAACACCAGTGTTTTTAGCCGTCGTGTTTATTCATATCGCCCATCAACCTAGAAAAAATTTTAATCCATCAGTAGTGATTTTCTTCACCTTTGTTAAAGTAAAGTAAATTGATCGGTTCTTTTGAGCGCTTGCTTTTGTAAAGAATGTAAAGACCGTCTTTTTTTGTGTAACCAAACACATTGATCGCTAAGTTGTTTTGAGATTCAATACGTGGGATTCGTGAAATCGGTGTTGGAAAGCTTATGTTTGTAAAATTTAGACCGTCTGACGCCTTCGGCATGTAAGTTGAAGGCCGCTCTTTATTTATTCTAAATTTTGGATTTGTTTCCAACTGACTTTTGACGTTGCCTGAATATAACTTTAAAGCTGCCCGCAGCGCCCATCGGATACATTCTTGATCTTTATTTTGGACGTTTATGATTGCTTTTTTGTCTCCCAATTCTTTAGGCAACGGAATGTAAGAAGAACCCATTGGATTATATTTAACCACGTTGATGTAAAAAGCGACGACTTTGTCAAAGATCCAACCCGAGCCTTTTTGTGTATGAGCCTCCACCTCTTTTATTTGCGCTTCGCGTTGTTCAGTGAGTGCATTTTTAATGTCGGCTTCATTTGTGACCACATCGTTGTCGCTTGGAAAGGGAAATACGCCAAATTCATTTTTCCGGTTTTTCCAATCTAAACTGAACTTTGATATTTGTTTGCAATTTGTACGAACCAATTTCTTTTAGTTCTTCCAAAGCTTTTTTCTCGAAAGTTTTGTAAAAATCAAAAAAGTGTATCAAATCGTATTCAAAGAAACGGGGTATCAATTCCCAATTGCGGTAGTTGCCCTGAAAGCGCCTGATGTTTCTAATGTCAACTTCCGCAATTTCCTCGGGCTGAGTGTAAGCTTTAATCGCTTCAATAAAGTCCTGTTTGACGTATCTGTCTTTGTTTGCAAAAGGAATATTATATTTTTGAACCGTTTTCAACAGCTGCCGATATGACTGACGCGGGAGGTATCTAAATTGTTTTTGGTCTGCCCGTATGGTTTCAATGAGCTCGGCTTTTGTGTCAGATTTACGCTTGGGTGCCGGTAATGGAATGTTATACCGCTTGACAAAATCTTCTAAAAACGCCTTCCTAAATCGATTAAAAGTCGTTAGTAGAGGTCGGTGTCGTCGGTTGCTCATGTGTCTATTTATATGTAGGTTTTGAAAATTCTTCTCATTTTTTCTATCCACTTGACTTGACATGTTTTTTTATATATTGTTAGATCTGTAGTAAAGA